TGTGTAGCAATACAAAGGATGTGAGATGGATAAAGAAGGGTGACACTTTCCCCACTCCTCTCCACTACATTTATTTTATTTATTTAGCTCTCGTTAAAGTGAGGCACCAGCTGGTCAGTTTACTGACCAACAACAACTTAATTAATATATTCACCCTTTAATGATCAGAATCAGTCACTGAAGTAGAATCTGTTAATTACAGGGAGTTCTACACCAGAACAAATGAATATTCATCTGAATGAAGAGACCAAACTTGTCTTTGAAGTTTTATTACAAAAATAATCAAACTGAAAATCAACAACAATAATAAACAAGCAATAATAATGAATCAATCAAGCTTTAATTCTCTTATCTAAGGCAAAATTGACTCTTTGAGCAGGAATTATTTCAGTTTTGTATGCGCATGAATTTAGACAAAGTTTGACTATTTGAATAAATAGTTTACTTTGGATTTTGGTTGAAAGAAGTTATTTAATCTGATCAGATGAAGTCCATCCATCCATCCATCCATTATCTTTACCCGTTTATTCCATTTTGGGTCACGGGGGTCGCTGGTGCACATGTCCAGCAATCACTGTGCGAGGGGCGGGGTACACCCTGGACGGGTCGCAAGTCCATCACAGGGCCACATAGAGACAAACAAGACAAACAACCATTCACTCTCTCACTCACACCTAGGGACAATTTAGAGTTACCAATCAGCCTAACATGCATGTTTTTGGTCTGTGGGAGGAAACCGGAGTACCCGGAGAAAACCCACGCATGCACGGAGAGATCAGATGAAGTCATTTATCATTATTGCAAGCCAGGAAATGATTTACCAAGTTGCATCAGCTTAAAACAGCATAACCAGACCAAGAGTTGCATCATGTCAGCTGGTTTCTGCTCCTTACCAGGTCAGTGTTGATGGCACCACTCGTCTTTCTGGGATTCTCTGGTGGATCAGACCAGAGACACCATGAGGAGGACTCACTGGGAACTGCCCAAGGTAGATGACTGTCACTGTGACAGCTTCAGGGGGTCTGTGAGGGCAACAGCTGATGAGAAGGTGCACCGTCCATCACAACCTTCAGCCAATAGCGTGAGTCTTTTAATGAGAAAAGGATTCATCTTCTGCAGTAATCTAAACTTCTAACAATTGTAATTTGAGCAACGTGTTTATCTGCTCAAGAGTTGAACGAGTGGATCTAAGCATGACCTCCAGGATCAGGTCCACAGACGAACAGTCTTCTGGTTCGGGGCCGGAGACGAACTCTCCAGTTCGGAGGTCCAAGGCGAACTGCCTTTTACACAAAGAGACTTTGTGCAAAACAACAGCTCTGAGAAGATTGTTTTGAATGAATAAGGAACATTGTGGCTCCCCTCTGAAGAAAACAGCTTCCAGCTCAAAGACTACTTTTTCTCAGGTGTCTCTGAAGGAATAATCACTTTCTGAAAAACTGAACAAAGAAATATGTTATTCACATTGTAATATTTCACATGATTTCATTATAGTGATTGAAAACAACAATCGAAATTATTCATGTTCACACTTGTTAATCAAATAAAACAAACTTCATTAATAATTTGTTTTTCTGTCTTAGAAACATAGGAAGAAATAAGATAAACATTAGTCAGACTGTAGCTGACTCTGTGTCCAAGGACAGGAAATGTGTGGAAACACATCAGACATTATTGAAGTCAAATGTTACTTTGAAAAACACGATTCATGGTAAGTCTGAAAGATGAATAAGGGACAGGGGTCATAGTTAGAGCTGTGCAGCTTCATACTACATACATCCATACATACATACATACATACATACATACATACATACATACATACATACATACATACATACATACATACA